GTCACCGGGTGAATGTGTATGCTGTTGATCGCAGATGACCTTTACCGCGTCATCGGGTGAGTGTGTATGCTGTTGGTCGCAGATGACCTATACAAGGCAACCCCAAGTTTTGTTTTAAAATATATATTGCAGCAGGTTCGAAAGCGGATGTTGAGTGATGAAATGACGCTCATTTTTTTTTAATTTGGAGATCTTACTTTAAACTGAAATCACGACACTGCCACCTCACCTGTAAGCAGCAGAATAACAAAAGATTGACAAACACCAATCACAATTCCTTTACTATGTCTCTCCAGTCCAGAGCAGCGAAAACTCATCTAATTTCGTGAGTCATCTAATTCTGTGATATTTAGTTTGATGGCTTTCATATTGCTTTCAATATGCGAGTGGAATCAACCACTTTAAAATAACCTTACACTTTGGAAACAAAGCTCGAATTCGCATGCAAAGTTTTGGTTCACTGGACTGAATGAGATAGCAACAATCAACGGTTTTGTCAGTTCGCGCGCAAATCTCGTGGGTTTCGGCAGAGTTTGTGAATGGTTGTTGAAGTTTCCTGTGTATATGTATTTAATCAATTTCTTAGCTTCTTTAAATTAAAATGCATTATATAAGATATTCTTTTGACGTGCCAGTAAACAAATCGTCGTAATTCTGTGTTCTCTAAGTGTAAGACCTTTTTTGGTTCGTCAAAATTGTTAGTGTTTTACCGGTTCAGTGGTTTCCATGCTATCAAAAATCATGGTAGTCAGATAAAATTATTTGTAATTTTAACTGAAACTATGGATATATTTCAAGTTAAGTATACAAGATCTATCAGCTATCTTGATCAACGGATCAGCCTTGACATCTAACGCGGTAATGCTGCCAGCCTATTGGGCACCATTCCTGATGGCGGCGGGGGGGGGAGACAATATTTTTTATTTTGTCAATTATTTATTTATTTATGTAGGTAAGTAGGTTAAGCTATATAGTTTTTGGGTTTGTGTTATTTTAATGTATCTATATCTTATTTCAATGGTAATCAATAAAAAAGGACACAAAATTGACATTATTTCAGTAGTTTTCTCTTTCCGTTATTGTAATAACGACTTTAAGTCAATATTATATATTTTTATCAAGGATTTAAGTGACACTTTTTAGGACTTGGCACGTAATTGAGTGAGTAATGATGATGTTTACTTTCATCATCAGATATCATGGATAACTCAAAAAAAAAACAGAAAGCCCTTGGAACTCAATCTTAAAACCGCCGTTGAAAATGTTTTAAGTTCAAGAATGACAATTCACAGGCCTTCTAAAGAGTGTAATGTAAGAGTTCCATGTTCAACATTGACTACTAGGAGAATTCAGAAGTTATAACTGATACGATAATTAACTATTTTTAATTTAATTTATACGAGAAAAGAAGTATATTGAACATAAAGAGAAGTGACAGGAAAAGACAAACTACAAATGTCATTGATGCTCTAAATCACTGCAAAAAACTCAAATGGAAATGGGCCGGCCACATTGCCCGCATGTATAACAATAAATGGATCAAAAAAATAATAACATGGCCACAAAAGGACCACAAACTAAAAGAGCCAGAGGAAGACCAAAAGACAGGTGGATCGATGAAATAAACAAACAAACGAACATAGACTGGATCAATAAACCGAAAAGCTTGGAGTAAAATGGAGGAGGCCTTTATTCGTTGTGAGGTCCTTAATAATATCTTATTATAAAGTTTTATTATTTATATACAGTCGTGGTCAACTAATTAGGGCCTTTCAAGATAGTGAAGAGCAATAACCGGTTATGTACATATAAATATAAAACCCTATTCATTTCTCAGCACCTATTATTTGCATAATTTGGTCCGATTATTATACTATAAATGGCTGTAAATAAAAGAATAAATAAATAGAAAAAAGTATTTAATATCAAAGGTTGAACATGTATTCAATTTTAAGGTATAATTCTGTAGCTGGACATTTAATTAAGGACAGTAAACTATAATGAAAAATAGTGTTAAACAAAACTAATAATCTGCAGTATTATAATATCTTTAACAGCTCCATTTTATTACGTGTAAAATCAGTACCCAGTAGCAAAACCTTTGTTAGTAATTACCGCTCGACAACGATGTGGCATAGACATTATCAGTTTCTGGCATATTTCGACAGGAATGTTTGCCGATGCCACACAAAAAGCTTCATTAAGTTCATCTAAAGTTGTAGTACGATAAGTGGCAACTTTTTTCTTGATTTCGTGCCAAAGGTGCTCGATTGGGTTAAGGTCCGGGCTATTTGCTGGCAAATCTAGCACCGATACTGATTGACTGGTAAGAAACGACTTGACTGAACGAGTGGTATGTTTCGGGTCGTTATCATGCTGAAACGTCCATATAATAGGGAGATGCTCCTCAGCATAGGGAAGCATCGTTTCCTCCAATATTGCCTTGTATTGATGTTGGTCTAAGTTACCCTGAACTTTCCTCACAGGTCCCACTCCACGTCCAGAAAATGAACCCCACATTTTAATGCTTCCACCGCCATGTTTCACCTGCTTTTTTGTGAATCTTGGATTCATTTCCGCTTTTACTGGACGCCGTACGTATTGCCTTCCATCTGAAGAAATCGAATTAACCTTGGTCTCGTCAGAGAATAATATATGTTGCCATTGGGCGTAGGTCCAATGTCCATATTTACGTGCAAACGCCAAACGAGCATTTCTATGTTCTTTCTTTAACAACGGTACTTTGCGAACCACTCTTCCGAACAACCCTGCTTCTACCAGACGTCGTCGAACGGTCCTCGCTGAGACACCAGCTCTTTCGTCTGCCCCAAACACTTCGTGTTTAATTAAAATAGAGCCTAGAAACGGATCTTTCTTAGCTAACCTGGTTATCATTCTATCTTCTTGCGGAGTTGTTTTTCTCGATCTTTTCGTTCTGGGCACATTTAAAGCTGTGTTATTGCGTCTGACATGTTGCACTGCATTGTATACCATAGTTTTTGAACAATTTAAATGTTCTGCTATCAACCATGCTCGACAACAAACTTCATGATAATTTTTCGTAGTGTTGGATCGCAACTTTTATTTTTGCCCATTTTTCTTCAAAATATTTTTCAAACCTCAAAATAAAAATCGGGATTGCCGCCAAAACTACCACGAAACAATAAGAGAAGAAGTAAAAAAGTATTGAGATTCAAATTTTGAAAATAGAACGCAATATCTCATCCCATATTATCACCCGCCAATCCCCTTACCACCCTCGAATCCCTTACACCCTCCAATCCAAAATCCCCTTTTCATCTTCCAATCCTTTTTCACCTACCAATCCCCACTATCACCCACCAATCCCTTATTATCACCCATCAATCCTCACTAACACCCACCAATCCCATATTATCACCCGCCAATCCACTTTCCATCCTCCCCCTTTCACATACCAATCCCCACTATCATCTACCAATCTCCTATTATCATCCATCAATCCTCACTATCACCCACCAATCCAATATTATCACCCACCAATACCCTTATCAGCCTAGAATCCCTTACAACCTCTAAACCCTTCTTTTCCTACCTACCAATCTCCTGTGCTCATTTAGTTTAACAACTTTCAGATGTAGATCCTCCTCTCTCACTCTAACCCACAGCACCAATTAGATAAGTAAGATTCGGGGGGTGTTAAGTTATCACTAATATATACTTAGATACAAATTTATATTTAACTAGCACAGTCGCATCAGGCTTCCTCCCGCCTTGTTCGGAATTATTATGATTCAAGGAATCAGTAGGTAATAACAGGCTGCCATTGATGATGCAGAGACGAACCTACTGCCCTAGACAATTACGCTCTCGGCCTGCATCTCTCACTTTACGTCTTGTGCTCAGCATCCAAAATATATTGTACACTGTCTTAAAGTCTGTGTGAATCATCAGTATCATAAGGTATTTTAGGAATTACAACAATCCCTGAGCTCATTTAGAGCACCCTCCGGAAAATAAGGGCAGGGGTGAAATATATGGCGCGTTCTTTAAACGCGCCTGTGAATTTTTGAAGTGAGACTTCTTTACGCACGCTTGACTTGGGGGGTAATCTGGCGTATGCGTTACGTGTTACAAAAAGTGTGTTCGGGCGAGGCGAACGGGAGTTGAGTGGGGGAATTAAGCAAGAGAAATCAGTGCGCGTGCACATTTTCTTTCTCTATTTCTCTTTTAGCTAGTAAATGAAATATGTATGTACATATATACAGATGGAGCTAAAGAAGTTTCACTTCAGTCGTGTGGTCATAAGTACACTCGTTTTTTTCCTTTTTTCCACGCAGGTATAGCATAGAGCACTATTTATCCCTCGAAAGAAAGTGATATTCCGAACTTGGGTACACAGGCACATCGCTGCGCCTCGGGCCTCAAACTACACCCTTGTTGATAATCGGTCACTTTCTCCTCTACGTAATCAATGTACTATTGTAAAATAAAGGATGATAGGCTATTAGACAGTATGAAACATAAAGTACCAATTTATTGGCATGTGTATTTAACATGAATATTGGGAGTGATTTCATTATTCTGGCAAAAAAAGTAATGTTCTTTTAATATGCATTAATTACTAAAAATCAGAAAATGGAATAGTATCAAAGATCTATTGTCACGTGACCCGCCTAGGATTAGCGGGGCCTAAAATGATGTCAATTGTTTGGAAACATGCTGGAGACATTACTTTGTACTGTTTGACGTTCTAATGAGAGCCTTACAGGCAAGTGACGTCAGTCACTTAGTTAGCAGTCTTGAATGCAACTGTTATCATAAGTATTAAAACACTCATGTGATACTACTTTCACACTCTGCTTCGCCTTGTGTGATAAACCCACATTCGTGTTACTATGGAGTACTATTATGGAGTCACTATACACTGATATAGAAAGTTTTCAAAACTTTTCAAATACCCTTGTGCCACTCCAGTTTTAAATGATCCGTACACAAAAGAAAATAGAATCAATATTTACTTGGTTATTAGGGAATGTGCCATCTTTGTCTATCGCGTTGACTTGGGTGACCTTCGTGCCGATGGGCTCTCCTTCCAGGACGGTTTCCTGCTCACGTTCCGTGAACAAGGGTATTTCATCGTTGACATCCTCGAGCTGGATGAAGACAGTTGATTCCGAAGCCAGTTGTTGGGCGCCGTTGTTCTATTAAACAAAAAAAAAGATCAATAGGGTCACCGGCCCAAGCTTGCGCCGAGACAATAAGAAATGATATTAGAAGGTTGCCTATCTATCTATCTGGTAGTTAGTTATACCAGAACACATTGTTTAAAGAATATTTTACTAGAAAAATTCACTCGGTCAGGTCAGACGGGATTCGAACGCGCATTTTATATCCGGTCGGATATTTTTATACTGTTAATTTTTTCTTAAGATTTAAACATCTAGCAGTTAAATTCTTAAAATAAAAATGATGTGGTGTCGTGGGACACCAGGTAGGAACGAAGTTCCTTCGGCTAATGTAGAATCGACACAAATTGCAAACTCGCTTGTGTATGCGACTCTCGCGCCTACGCACGTCTCATTTAACGGTTTTATTCCACGCACTTTTTTCCATGGTGTTTTTCTTACGGTTTTACTATCACATTTTTTTAGTTCGGTCGCGCAGCAAAATCCCTATCCCCCTAAATTGCAAACTCGCTTGTGTATGCGACTGTCGCGCCAGCGCACGTCTCATTTAACGGTTTTATTCCACGCAGTTTTTTCCACGGATTTTTTCTTACGGTTTTACTATCACATTTTTTTCAGTTCGGTCGCGCAGCAAAATCCCTATCCCCTCCAAGCCTGCCGTAATGTGAGTATTCGCCACGTGCTTGTCCATGAATTCATGAGTATATACTATGCATTGGCGGGGTGGAGTGGTAATAGAAAGAGAAGGGATGAGAGAACGAAAAGAAAGAGGGAGAAAGAGAGCTGCTTTATCTGACGAGATACGAAATATCTGGTGTCTTCGGGGTCGGGGGTTGGTCATACCCCGATAAGGGTTGTGATTACGATGTACGCAGCATGCCTTATAGCAACAAAATAGCAACAAAATACGTCCTTGGTCTCGGGTCGCTAGCTGCTTTAGCTCACGAGATACGAAAAATCTGAGATATCTAAGAATAAGGGTAGTTAGCCCTCCATGAAGGGTTTATATTTTTTCATATCTAACCAGCTTATCTTACAGCAACAAAATATGCCGTTCATCTGATATCTCTAACTGCTTTTGCCTCCGAGATATCGCTGTGGTTTCGCTAGCGTAATATTAGGCTGGCGTAACACGCGTTTTTCGGAGAAATCTTAGAGCAACAAAATCAATTCTTGCGGCACAAAATAGTAACAAATTAGCAACAAAATACTATATACCTTAGGATATGGACTTATGAAATTATTACGCTAGGGTAATATACCTTTCAAATTGGTTTGTTTTATACATTGAAACACGTAATGCCATATTGATGACACTTATCTGATGCCTATAAATCACCAAATGTTTGTATATATTAATTAACACTTTGTTTTATTATAAATAACTTTTTTTTATCTTTATGTAATCACTATTTATTAAACTAAAAATATCACTGGCACCGTTGCCTACCCTGATCCAATCCCCGTTAAGCCCTGGAACCTTACTCAACGACTTATTTCCTTCTTCAAAATTCTAAACCTAAATTAATCAAACTCGCCGCTAGGCTCAGATGTAAAACTTAACTATTAAGCTGAATCACATTCGCATCTTTACATTTTGGGCTGTACGGATATGAATTCACTGCAACACTTTTTGTAACATGAACATTTTTTCACGTGCTGACAGAACATAAAAAATAACTTATGAATTGATGAAGGCACAAAATGACACCTAAAACTTTACTTCGTCCCCATACCAAGTTTGTAATGGAATAAATTATGCAAAAATAAAGTTGTAAAACAAGCCCCCTAAACCTTTTAAAAACACTTAAATAATGTAATAGCGGCGAGTTCCTTATTTTACTTTCGAACTAATAAAAAGTTAGCTTTTTAAAATACAAAATGTTTCAGTATTTTAACTTTATTAATTTTGACATACTTACCCTTTTTTAACACACTTTTCACACCTAACCTAACACATTTCTATGCTAGTCTAAGATTGTAAGTAGGTAAGAACGAAACTAGAGTTGTTAGCACTGTATAAGTTAGTACTTATCAATAAAATCATCATGTTCATCATTGAATGTGTCATCAAAATCATGACACATTCAATATAAAAATAAGAAAAGTATTAAAAAATATATTACAAGGTCACAGTTTTGTTGTTTTAGTACTTACAATCTTTTATTTTTATTGTCATAGATTTCTTAATGTTTAGATATAATTATTAGTTGCTAAACAATAACAAACCCTTTTATGATGACTTCAAAGATTTTTTTAGCAATTAATGATAAGAGGAGATTGTTTACTATATAACTTGGAATTAAAAAATTGAAAAAAAATATATGAGCAGTCGAATTGGTTGATGTTAATATATTTTTTAAAAGAAAATAAATGTCATTCTATCAATTTATGTCATCGCAGAGCTGGTTTTTATTTTTTTCCGTTTTTATTTCTTTCGTTTACAGGTACCTACTTAGAGAGAACTGTCTTCTTCGTGTTTTTGGAGAAGATAGAAAATAAATTGATCATAAACATAATGTTATTTATATCTTTGCAGTTTTTTTTATCTTTTTTCTTTAGGAGATTTTGTCCGATGACATGACAGCTCCATCGAAACGAACTAACGAGTACTGAACTACTTGATTAAGAATTATAAATTTATTACATTAGATTTCGTACTTGTGTAATTTACTGGCAGCATTCCACTAAACTACACAAGTACAAGGCGGCTTCAGATTCGGGGTTGCTCAGAACAGTTTTGCAGAATTAGATTGTTGTTATTTGGAAAGGGATATCAAGCTATAACGACAATAACAGTCACACACCTAAGATCGGCTTAAAGGCATGCATAATTTAGCTATGTATGTCTATATTGTCTTGTTACTATTATAGTATCAAGTCTCCATCGCTTTTATGTCAACGCCTATCCCTCGTAGCCCTAAGATAACATTGAACGATGTCCGAACATAATCTTAGTTTGCATTAAGTAAGTACCAACAACCTAGGATTACATTGATCGACTCCTATATAATGTATGTAGGATTTATATGTATCAATTAAAGCGATTGTAAATTGTCGTTTCAATAACCCGATATAGACAGTAGTTCGGCCAATAATGCCATTAAAAAACTAAGTACGCCGGCCGTACATAAGTATTATTATTATAAATGTGCTAGCTGTCCCAGAGAACTTCGTAGCGCCATAAAAAATAGGGGTTGGTGGTAGAAGGGTGAAAATTTAGGGTTGTATATATTTTTGTATTATGTACCATAAAAAAAAACAAAAAACTTTGTCCAAAAAAAAATTTAAGGATGGACCCTTTACATTTAGGGAGATGAAAAAAAGATGTAGTCCGATTCTCAGACCTACTGAATATGCATTTAAAATTTCACGAGCCGAGCGAAACCGAAACCGGTCGAGCCGTAGTAGTTCAGTTACGCACACAGTGACACGAGAATTTTATATATTTATCAATAGTGGGTAAATATTGAATAGTCTTGATCTTAATTAGCCGATTCATTGATTCAAAGTCTTCTAATTAATTAAGTTGTGATCAATATACTCATAATATACTGCGAATCCTTATATTTTGGTAATGATTAAGTCTTATTTGAAGAATTACAAGTATTACGTTCTAATTAAGCGGCTTATTATACATAAGCTGTGTAATGTTCATACGTTAAGAAGTTCATTGTGAAACTTTTCGGATAAGTATATAATATACACAGGCAAAATCGACCAGATATTTAGAATTTCGGTAACAAAAATATCCTCAGACCTCAATTACTACTACTCAATTGAATCTGTAGGAAATAACATTTTGAATTTAACTTATAGGGTAAGGTATATAAAATAAATTGAGAATAAAGAATATAGGAATAAGATAAAAACATTTTTATAAGTATAAAGGTCGAATAATAAATGAAATAATTTTCAGAAAAAGGGTGAAACAACTAGCTTTGGAGACCTGTCCGTCTTTACCTGAACCTTTAAAAATACGCGCAACTTTTCGGAAATAGCAAAGAATTTTGAACATGTTCCCGTAATCTCATAACAATAACATTAGTAAGTAGGTACCGAAACAGTTTCAAGTGACCCGCAAAAAGGTTGAATAACAGCTGGCTCCGGAAAAAATATACATAAAGCAAACTCACCTCGACACGGATCGTCAAATTGTATTCCTTGATGCTCTCGTAGTCCAGAGGATGATTGACTTTTATATCCGCCCAAGTGAATCCATTATCGGCCCTTTGTTGTAAATAGAAGGTGTGGAACTTATTGGTTTGGGCGGTCGATCCGGGCATAAGGCGGTAGAACACGGTGGGATTGTTCTCAATGCCAGAGCTGAAATATTAAAAGACGCTGTAACGACTATCTCAACAGTTACGACTGTGTGTGTATCTAGTGGTCACATGACAACACCAATAATGATTCTATTTATGAAAAAAATATCACATAAAATTTTGGAAAACACAAACTAATTTAGACTATCACAAATTGCAATGTAAACATATTTCAATGCATCTAAAACGCAACAAAAACTGGACTGATTGCATGTAATTAACTTATCTTTGACATAGTAATTAATGATTTTGATAATAACTATAATATTCATTCAAAAATGTGCATTTAAAATTAGTTGTAAAGCTCAGAATACACGCAATTAATTACTTTTATTAAATGCTCACTGAACTAGGTACAACAATAATAAAAACGACTTTATTTAATTGTTTTGTCAGCGTTTACAGTCAAATGTACATTTTGTAATGAATTACTTAGGAAAAAGATTGGTTAGTACGGTGATTTAGTAATGATTTCGACTTCTTAGATACAACCATGTAAGTTGGAAAAGTGTTTGTTTAGGACGCACAGATAGACAATAGAAGTGAACATTGCCATCGGCTGACACAGAAAGTGATGGATGGATGCAATAGGTAATTAAAACTAAAATTGCAATATGGAGCCCGTGATTGGTAAAAGCCTATTTAGATATATAAGCGTAGGTACCCCTAGATTAATTGTATATATCAGAAACACATAGAATATATGTACATCAGCACTTGATATACACAACGTATTAGTCCAGTGCCTTTAACTCGAAAAAATGGCTCTATAAATCTTGGTAAGATCTACTAAAAAGGGGCTTGTTGATGCAATTTAGTCTACGCGTTGATTAGTCCATGCTTCACCATTAACAGTAACAACGCAGTTTTTTTTTAAAAGACTAAAGGTACTCATTGCAGATTTTGTGAGGTCCGGCCACTGGTACGGTAATTTTCATAGGTTTCAAGAAAATTACACAAATCTGTAATCTAGTTTAGGCCAAAGTAGGTTCACATCAGCACTTGATACACACAACGTATTAGTCCATTGCCAATTACTTTAACTGGTAAGATGGCTCTATAAATCTTGGTAAGAATTACTAAAAAGGGGCTTGTTCATGCAATTTCGTCTATGGGTTGATAACACCATGCTTCATCATTATCAACATTAACGCAGTTCCAAGAAAGACTAACAGTACTCATTGCAAATTTTGCGAGGCCGAAACCAGGGTTAAGGTAATTTTCATAGGTACTAAGAAAATTACACAAATCTGTAATCTAGTTTAGGCTATAGTAGGTGAAATTAAAGTATGAATGATCTTAAAATTTGTCACCATCAATTAATAGTTTAGAATCAACTTAAGATATACAATCATAGTAACATACGTCGCATAATACTCAAACAATTTATAAAAGGGTTTGTTTAAGTGCGTTTTATTTAATTGTCAAAATGTTGACATTTCCAATCCTTTTTATATGCCCTGTTCACAGACTAGGAGGATGTACCAACATGTCAACGGCAGACGGCGACGCCACGCCTCATGTAGGAATTGGTTGAATTATTCTTAACATATTGATATTCCTCGCATGTAAAACGTTACAAATGGAACTATATTATGTAGCTAATGCTGTGTGTTGGCATATTTGTATCTGAGGCCCAACCACGAACTTTGACAGATCCGTAATCGTATCTTTTTGAAGTTATACTTCTTTAGGCGCGTTATGAAAAAATGATGAGAGTGAAATTTTAAGATGCGCGCGCATCACTGTAACCCAAAATTTTAACAGCATGAAGTTGGTCGCTTTAGCGACCAACTTCATGCGTTACTTTTGTGTTTACCGCACATTAAGAAAATCTACCAACAAAATAGTAATAGAATCTCTATTTAGTGGGTGCTAACGACTGCATTGTGAAGGCCTATCAAAAGTATTTATTAATCTGGAACAACGGAACCAAAGCGCGATTCAGGAGACTACAGCGCCATCTCTTGACCATTGGTGCAGTAGAACCAAAAACCACATCTTTATTTTTTGTAATAAAGTAACAGTTATAGGTATTCATATCTATATATATAAAAGTGAAACCCGTTTTCCGTTGTCACGACATAACATGAAAACGGCTTGACCGATTTGGCTGATTTTTTTTTTTAGAATATTCCTTTAAGTACGAGGATGGTTCTTACGAAGAGAAAAATTTAAAAAAATGCCTGAAAATGTCAAAAAACAAAACTTTTCTTTACTCCCATACAAACGATTCGTAATAATACTTAAAAGTCAATTTGAACTTTAATACCATACCATAAATTTCAAATGTTAGTGGAGAGATTTTGAGAAGGCAAAACAATTGAGCGACGTGATGTCAATAGAAGTTTGGAAAAGATAAATATACCATCTTCAGTTTTTTTATAATCTATATATATAAAACTCAAAGGTGACTGACTGACGTAGTAATCTATCAACGCCCAGCCCAAACCACTGGACGGATCGGGCTGAAATTTGGCATGCAGGTAGATGTTATGACGTAGGCATCCGCTAAGAAAGGATTTTGATCAATTCTACCCCCAAGGGGATAAAATAGGGAATGAAAGTTTGTATGAAACTTTGTCAATTTTAAAACCGAACGGGCTGAGACTTTGCATGAAGGTATAAGAATAATCATAGATGAATGTCATTAGAATAGAATAGAATTAATTTATTCATTGTGTATAAAACAAGCCTGAGAACAAAAACTGTAGTCTACGCTTCAGCTCTACACCGAAGCGAAGCGAGGGCGGGCCGCTAGTTTATAATATTTATCCACATGTTTCTAGTTTGTATATTCGGTATACGTGTTTGAGTTTCATACAAGTGCAAATCACATATGTTCTAATAAATTATATTCAGTAGCGATTTTAATTGAATATTTTGATTATTTATTTATTTTTTCAAATTAAAACTGAACTTTATTGACTGTGTCCTTTTCCAGACTTTTTATTAATTTATTGTAATTAATTATTTGCATGCAATTAAAAAATAATTTTAAACGATGCCAAAGAAGGATAACTTCTCACGCGCCTACATAAGTACACGCACCCATTTTTTTTTGAATGTGTATGCTGTTGGTCGCAGATGACCTTCACAGCGTCACCGGGTTTGGGGACGCGAGATCCTTAGGGCACCTCAAGCCGAGAATTGGTGAGTGCCTCTAGATATATTCCAGGCGGATGGCATCTCGCCACAGGGGGAGTCACCTCTCCGTTTGGAGCCTCTAGACCACACGAACCTGAGGGGTTAATCGTATCGTCATCGTCCAATTTTGTATGGAAGGACGTCCAGTAGGGTCGCTAATTAGTTTTCATAGAAACTTTCACAGTGCGATATGATTAAAGGGCTTTCTAAATTCGTGCTTGAGCCTCTGTCTATAAATATCAGATCTGACTTTTCTTGTTGAACTTCAGAAAGGAGCACAATGAACTAGTTTTGAAAGTACATCGATGAAACTCAAATTCAGAATCCGCATCGAGGAAGTGGACAATGTTCTAGAATCAGCCCCTTAAGCTGACACTAGGAAAGTTTTAAGTACTGACTACTTACTTCCTTGTAATTAAAGACGAAACCAGACTCGACATCATGAGCCGTGCGTGTGACTACCAATATATACTGCATAATATCTAAATAGGCCTTTGATGATGCATTTGAGCACATTTTCTTGAATTTTTTATGACGCATACTTACTACTTCCCAAGTTAGTTTGGTATTTATCACGTACTACACTATTAAATACCAATTTGCAAAAAAATCGTAGAAGCGAAGTTATGTAATTTGAATATTCCCCGTATTTGATTTAAAAATATTATGTATTAATATCACTTTGAATTAGTCGTTTCCTACACATTACTTATGTCAAAAAATATATCTTTAGGGATTATCATACTTAAAATTTATGCTGGTTTAAGTTCGCGGTTGATATTTATGATAATATAACTACAATCTAATACAAAACAAATTGTTGAAATTGTCATGCTTACTTCGTTCCTACAGAAATGTTCTTATCAAACATTTCACCGATTCATGATGCAATTATGCTTCAACCTACATGCATAGTAAACTGAGATTTTGTAGAATATATTTCACAAACGTTCGAAATAATATAATTAAATTATCAACATTTATGAATGCTAGGCAAGTCAGATGAATTATAGCATTTTCATGATCTGAGGTAGGCAACTTATGTAAATGATGCTTTAATGTTAACCAATAAATACAATATTCACCAAATTCTTAAGAAAATGGGCGATAATAATTTGTTGAACACTTCATTCATAGAAATTAGACATCTTTATCCATTAAGACAGACGTGATATCTTTTTGATTACATAAGTAATTGTAATATTTCAGTTTAAGTTAAAACTTAGTTAGTTTTTCGTAGTTCGAAAATAAATTTAAATCACTTGAAGTTTAAATTTTTTTTTGTCATAATACTGTTTGTTTAAACCATATTCATATTAAACCACAATTTATTATCATATACTTTACAGGCGTATGACAAACATATTAATTCAATCTTAAATTAGCATCAAACTGATCTCTATAAAGGATTTCTGGAAGTAGCAATACGGTTAAAGAATCATTCACAGAAGTAACATAAAATATTTAATATTAGTGTGATTCCCCTTTGCATGTAAGCAGTGAGCCCTTATGCACGCTAGTGAACCACGTTAACTCGAACGTGTGGTTGCTGTTAACAGATTGTCTATGCAATTATCATCCCAGACAGATGTCACCATGTGAAAATTACATTACGAACGACCATTTTAAGACGCCAAACGACGGACAAACACCTGTGCTGTTCTTAATCAAAATCGAACTTCAATTCGTGCTTGTTGATCACAAACAAGTATTAGAATTCGACGATGATAAAGAAGTTTCATTAAACCTCGCAGTAGCCGTCATTCGCAATCATTCATCGGTTCCGAATAATGTTGCTATAGTATTTTATTTGTACCCAGAGCATTCTTTATTTGAAATGGCAATGAAATTGAAAAAAGGAGTTTGTTTAAGACTCATCAATAAAATTATTTTTTGTTACAATTAAATCAGAGGAGTTTCCGCGAATGACAGGCTCCTTGGGGTGCGGTGTCGCCGCGGCGTCGCACACTGCGTGCAAGGTGACGGGGCTGCGTGCGGTGCCCGTGCCGAACAGTAACGCACCTTGCTTTCACGGACACCACTTTGGCACCCACGGGCAAGTTCTCCCGAATGAAGATTGGCCCGTACACCGTGTGGTCCCACACGGGGGGATTGTTAGCGCGATCCACTACGTCTATCTGGACCTCCACGGATCTGGACAAGGGCGGGAAACCCTTGTCTTGAGCCATAGCCTCCAGCTTGTACGTCTCTCGCTATCGGGGATAGAGTCGATGGAAACAGACAAAACCACGTCGTTAGTAGTGTTAAGGAGTAGAGGAGCGGCGGGCCCGGGGGTCCGCTGCGCCTTATACCAACCTGGCTTTCACACTGGTCACTACGGTACCCACTGTGACATTCTCTTTGATGTGAACGGGGCCATACGTGGTCATGTCCCAGATGGGGGGCTTATTGTTCCTGTCTACCACGTCTAATTCAACGTCCACGTCTGCGGAGGAGGGCGGGTCGCCTCTGTCGGAGGCGCGCACGCGCAGTCGATACCTGTCCCGCTACAGATACACGGGTCAGAGGTCAGCGGGGGAAAATAAAATATAACACAACTAAAACATAAACACATCGCTAAGAAACAATCAAAATAATTTAAAAACAAACTCAAGTATCTCTCATTTCACATTTGGAAGATGAACTTATTGGCTGGTTAAGGATGACTGTATTTTTAAGTGTTGTTGTAACTCGCAGCCGTCCCGCAGTCATTCGTTAAGCCAAAAGAAAAGAGAAAAGTATAAAAAGTAATTTATATTTTCAGTGAATTTCAACCGAGCACACCCGCCATCCATGCACTAGCGCCTTCCATACTCACTTACAGTAACATTCCTTAATGTAGCCAATTTTAGATGGTGCGAGAAAAGAAACTGGAAACAAAAATGTTTTTGGTAATTTACAAGTTTTGTATGTACAATAAGAAAAATTACAAACTGTACATTAGGTATAAGTAATTATTCTGTACAATAATATGATTAAACTAAACTAATTAAAAGAAAATAATAATCGAACGAAAAGCAGGCAAATGCATGCAGCTCTGCATACAAGACATGGCAGAAAGGTCAGGTTGTCGTATGAAGGTTTTGGTGACCTCGTAATTACTACAACAAAACGACACTCATTGAAATGAAATATATTACAAACGATGGACGTTACGGTTTAAACTGTACAAATTTGCGTATTTTTTTTTGAGAACGTTGCCCCTTTCACAGAAGGAATATGTCACAACTGGCCAGATGGCCAAACTGCCGTGCAGGCAATCTGACCATCTCGATTATAAACTAACAATATTATACAATCATATTAACATATACTGGCGCCCTGTAAAAAAATTCAAAATTATCATGATGAAAATATTTATTCACAATGCATGAGTGGTCGTCAATGACATAGAAATATTACTAGGCAGACTCGAACTGCCCTCAAAAAGATCCCTCCGCAAAACAAGATTAGTAACAAAACATGTACATATACTTAAGAATACTGATAGGTATGTTCACAAGCGTAAGCTTATTAAATCAATCGTTCAAGTACTTACAATAAAATAATATTCGAAACTAGTATGTGCGAAATATACAGAAGTGCTGTTACGGAAACTGTACATGTTTTAGAACTAACGGTGAAATATTTACAGCAGTACTGTCTCTGTCACGAGTATGTATAGGTATTTATTATACACAGGTCTTAATATCGGCAAGATAGTAGTCAATGCAAGATGGTGCTGCGGAAATAAATCTTAACGAAGATTTAGTGCTGAGCCGGCGCTGGCGGCAAATCAAACTAATTGTGCTGCAAGAAGAACAAGCCCCCGACGGCGGCCGCGACTCCCGCCTCGCCATTCAATGGACAACTACTCCTCACAGCCAGGATTGACCCCTCTTCACAGCAATTTACAGCGCAGTCAAATTTAGAACTATTTACATTTAAATTAACTTAAAAGTATGTGCCAATTGAATCCTAGGGTCTGTAGGTAGCACTCATCCACCAAACTTTATAGAGTAAAGTTGATCCCTTTCATACATCGCGCTTGTCATGAGTTCACACGATGTTAGAGAATGTGGTATCATTATGACTACATGATGTTCTCATGTTGAATACTTACGTCCAAAGGTTTCTTGAGAACGATCCAGCCCGATTCGGGCTGGATCTCAAAGTATTCAATATCGGCGGGATTAAATGGCGCACTCAGCGTATATACAATCGCGCCGTTATTGTCTGCGTCCTCGTCAGAGGCAGATACTCTTAAAATATTTGTGCCAATACTGGCGTCTTGTTTTACATTCTCCACATATTTCTGTAAGATACAGAAAATATGGTGAATATCATCCGCTAAATACTTATTAATAACATGCAAATATTTAAGTATGAACATGCCATTTTGTGCGACTACGATTTATTATTTACATTGTGAAATAAATCTTACTTGTCTGTCGAATAGTGGAGGGTTATCATTGACATCAGTAATTTCGACTGTGAACGAGCAAACACCTTCCAAAGAAGGTTCGCCCTGATCAGTAGCTTTTACCGTTACGGACACAAATTTTCCATCGTCGCCTTCTCTGTCGAATACTTTATTGGTGGACACTTCACCAGTTTCCTCGTCGACTGTAAACTTGGTACCTTTTTGATTCGGCTGCTGCACTATGGAATACTTGACTTGTCCGTTGACACCTTTGTCTTCATCAGTCGCGTGCACTTTTATTACTGGACTACCGTTCGGTGCGCCTTCTTCAACTTTTGGGAAATACGTTGGACAGTCTTTGAATATAGGCTTATTATCGTTTACATCTGTGATAAATACAACTACAACAGCCGTTGAAGTGTGTATAGTCGCGTCTCCGTTAACGCAACACGCGCCATCGTCCATAGCTGTCACATTTAGTTCATATTTGTCTCGATCCAGCGATATGGCTTTATTGTGTAGACGGATTACACCGGTGATTTCTTCAATGACGAATTGGCCAGAACTCGTACCGCCACCGACAAAACCAAATCTGACATTGTCACCGTCCTTGTCCGATGCAACGACCGTAGTAACCAAAGTATTTGGACCTGCGTTCTCATCTACATTTGGAGTGTACACTTGCTGTGAGAACTTTGGTTCTTCATCATTCTTATTCTTGGTGTAAACTCTAACTGTGGCGGTTCCAGTTTTGGCCGGCTCACCTTTGTCCTTGGCAGTGACAACGAACTCGTAGTAAGCGTTATTATTGTCAGCGTCCAGCTGCTTGTTGTTGGTTATTATGCCATTGGAGTCTACGCTAAAGTGGTCATCTGGAACATTAAAAACAAAACTTTAAGTTAGTTAAATCGCTTTTTGTTATCTACCCAGTAATGTGAAATTCTTTTTATAGTAGTTTTTTGACGATTCAGTAATATTTTTAATAATTTCATATATCAAATGGTAAGTAGCGATTATTTAAAAATATAATCTACGATATTTGTTTCTTAGGTTTTCACGCACATCACTCATTAAATAAAACTAGTTTTTTACGGGTTAATGCACGAAACTTTATTTATTTATTGACGTTTCGTAGCCTTTACAGGCTACGTCGTCGTCAGAATCAAATTTTATTTAATTTTGTCGAGCTACCTTCGAAAGAATTTTTATTGAGCGTTCGGTTATTTCATTGTTCGATTTTTAAAAGATACATAGACAGTAAAAATTTTAAAAATCGAACAATGAAATAACCGAACGCTCAATAAAAATTCTTTCGAAGGTAGCTCGACAAAATTAAATAAAATTTGATTCTGACGACGTAGCCTGTAAAGGCTACGAAACGTCAATAAATAAATAAAGTTTCGTGCATTAACCCGTAAAAAACTAGTTTTATATAATCTACGAGCTAAATAATATATTGATACAAAGAACCCAGAAGCAAGTACTTTTGATTATTATATCAACTAGCTTAAGGCTCATTGTCGGACACTTGTTTAAATGTTACTATTAGTCAACGTCACGTCAAATTGTTACTTTTACCAACTTGTTTTTTTTTTATTCATAAACCTTTTTTTATTTTATTTTTAAAGGTCCGACAAATTAATCTATCCCACATAATATAGTGACGCTTGTATTCAAACGCGAAGATAGCTAGTGCAGCAATTTCAGCTGCCACACTGCCTCAAACTGCCGGCATGCAAGTTGCTTCTGCACGCCTGTTTTAATGTGCCCTGGGTTGTAGGAGGGAGGGAGTGAGCAGGCAAAGCATTCCATACATATAATAAGCTCCCCCGTACCGGACGGCAAGGACGTACCGTACCGGTTAGAAAACCCGTCCAGCCGTACTTGCCTGTTTGAAATATCTGGCTGTGGTGTGCACTGTTCTATCATAGCATAGCAATTAATAATCTTAAGAGAAATTAAATTATAATTATACAGCAAACAAATTGTAGGTGATAAGACGGAAACCATCCGTAAGTACACAAATTCTACGTTTATGCAAGAAATCACCTACTCAGAGGCAGAACTGAGCAGGCAGACCATATGCTGGAATCTTGGAGTGAAGGCTTTTATGCCACACCTTGTAAAAAGAAATGGTTATGCCGACACTAATAGCCTTATAATATAATAATTCCGCTTGTCGTTAGCCTTAACCCAGATATGAGTGATGTCCGCTGGAAGAGCATCCGTTCATCGTTACAGTATAAAGCCGCATTGATGACCATTAATCAGAGAGTGATCCTCTAGATAGCGGGGTCAGATAGTTTTGATGGTGGCAGTGCATTAAAATCATGGATTCGGAAATGTACCATTAAGTTTTGCCAGTAAATCGGTTTCTCCTACGGCTTATATAAGCTAGTGATCCATCTGGACATCTCAGAGGTGACGAGGGCTAGCTCAATTGTTTTGCATGACCTTGTTATCAGTTCCTGGCCAACGCGCTGGGCATCCGCTCTGATGTAAGCCTTCTTGCAGGACTGGAAAGCAATGTTGTAGGCACTGTTCCAAGCACGATATGCCACCTGCCTAAGCGAAAAAGCTTTAGCACAATCAAGATTGAACCAGCGGTTACGTGTGCCCTTACTGTGAGAGATGAGATCAAAATGTGGAACATAGTATTACATACCTATTACACTCTCCTCCTCAACAACAACTTCGGATGTGGGGCTGCCATTATGGAGAATAGGGACGTGAAACGAGTGAACGCTGTCGCGACAGGATTGGGCGAATTAGGGAGGTATTACAGCGTATTTTTCAAAATTGCCTGCAGAAAAGATGCACCGTTCCGCACCGGACGTAAGGCTTCAAAAGCCTTATTACAAATTTTCCGATGTCTCATATGTAGTTCGACCTACCTGACACCAGGTATTCGATCTCCGCGTTTTTCCCGGAGTCGGCGTCCATCGCTTTAACCTTGAGGATGCTGGTTCCGAGCGGGATGTCCTCATCAACGTTGTGCGCCTGGTAGTCGGGCAGCTCGAATTTCGGAGCGTTGTCGTTAACGTCGGTTACTCGAATTGTTAGCTGGAATTGGAGTAAACAACAAATGAAAATCTCGTAAGAAAAAAATGGTTAAAAAAGAAGCTGCTACCCTTATTTAAACCAGCTAATAGAGACCCCCCGGAAACGGGACATACGACCTCTGTCCAAATATATGAAGACTGATGAAAATTCTAGCAATTTTCCAAGCGGTGCGAACGGGAATATTTACTAAATCGAAAGTTTGGTGACCCCCTCCAAAATTTCCGACAGCGACCACGAATGGTAATAGCTATGTACCTACTTTTAAAATCTTTCCTGTTCGTATATACTGTTACTGAATATATTGTGCGTAAAATATATGTAATATACTCGAGAGCAATGAATCCGGGTCCCTTAAAGAATCCTAAAAATCTCTATTGTAGTAGTCTATCTTAGCTATTGTAAAGTAATATCACAATAAAATCCAATTTGAAAAGGGGAGACTCGAAGATGGAAATACGAAATTACTGCATTTGTTTTGCTTTTGTTTCTAATCTGTCATTTATCATTCATATAAACCATGTCGATAGTGTTCAATATTAATTATTCAAGCTGTAATCATGTCGTTTACACCTGAAGAATGCACCAGAATTCTCACAATGCTGGAAACCAGCCGGAGTCAGTGCGATACAGCCAGGACTGTTGGTGTGTCACTGTGACAGAGTTCGCCGTCGTTACGAGGAAACCGGCTGTAACCTACGCAGACCAGGAACAGGCAGAACCAGGTGTACCACAGCACGATATCGATACTTGGTGAACACCATGCTTCGAAATCGCTTTCTCACAGGAACTGAAATTACAAATCAGTTTCGACGCCTCGCAGGAAGTAACCCAAGCGCATGGACAGTAAGACGACGACTTTCTAGAGCTAGCTTGAAACCACTTAGATCTGCAAACAGTCCCATACTGGAGCGTGGGCATCGTATTTCAAGACTAAGGTATGCCCAGAACCACTTAAATTAGACTATTGATGATTGATCAAAAGTTATGTTTTCCAACGAATCAAATTTATGCTCTACAAGCACGATGGAAGACGCAGAGTATACACACGTGGAAGACCTTGGGAAAGATTCAAGCAAGCATCCATCAAAGAAAAAGTAGCCTACGGTGGTGGGTCTGTCTTTCTGACTTGTGTGGGCCGGAATTTCTTCTGAGAATCGCACAGAATTGGTGTTCATTTAATTAAATTCGCTAGTTAAAACTCTTTAACTAGCGAAAGATATGAGGAAGAAATCTTGGATGAAAACGTTGGCCCATTTTTGGTCAATTTGGGTGAGCTTACTATTTTTATGCATGACAAAGCTCAACCTCATACAGGTTGGATTGTGAATGACTACCTTCAAGAGATAAACATTACTCGTATGGAGTGGCCAGCTCGCAGCCCGGATATTAAACCGATCGAGTATGATTGGGACGAGCTAGGGAGATGCGTAAAATAACGAAACCCTCCCCCATCTACGCTTCATGAGCTCAAAATTGCTCTCACAGAAGAATGGGAGAATATTCCCCAAAATCGTAATGCCAAACCAGGTAAACGCAGTAATGGAAGCACGAGGAGGCAATACGAAGTATTAAAATTCAAGAAAATCGTAATGTTGTTCAAAAATGTCATGTTTCCTATTTTTGTTTTAAGGCGAGATCAGCCAGTTTTTTTCTTTATGTATTTTTTTGTAAATAAAATGTGGTGACTCATAAATTTTATAACTTTCATTTATGGAGTATTTAATTGTCTTTTAAACACAATATATTTCACTCAGATTCTTAGTTTGCGAGATTTTTAGGATTCTTTATGTGACCCAGATTCATTGCTCTCGAGTGTAGTACCAGCTACTACACTCGAGAGCAATGAATCTGGGAGCAGACTTTTCTATTGCACCCGACTAAGTAGAAAATGTGATCATACATCCCATGTATTTGTCATAAACGTTTATAACTAACGTACTGTTTCTGATGATGAGAAAAATATAAATATGCCGGTTTGCATGGTGTGGGGGTGGCTGTACGAAAGGGTAGAATACAGGGAAAAAAATATATAAGCGCGACAAACATCAATTACGATCACCCTCTAGCAACTCCTTTTTAATAAAAAAGATTTGACGATTTGGACGCGATCAAAAGTCATAGCTGTTTTTTGAAATAGTTTTTTTTTGCCGACCTAGACGTCCGGCCCCATTGGTGGGAGTCCACCGAGTCGAACGTCTCACTTTTCGAAAGTGATCACTTTACAGGGTGCAAGGTTGCCTTAAGTTAATCTGCCACGCTCGAGTTAAACCGAAAATCCTCACTCGGGCTCCCCTACTATAAGGTCACAGCTTTATCGTTTGTGTTTAAAACTTGTGAAAGTATCTCATTCGACGATATACCCAGTTACCTACAATGTGAACAGATGGCGCTGCTTGCATGTAGCATTATGAATACTTGAAAAAGTGTCAGAAATCTTTTCTGGTCTCGATCGTTCTCTGTAGCTTAATTTGAAAAGATACTTGAGGCAAGTTGAAGTTTCTAATTAATTTTTCATTATCTAATAAATCTTCCCGATCTTAGATTATTGCTTTTCTTAACATAATTTGACACTTACTTACCATCCCTTCCAATAAAGAATAAACAAAATATATCATCAATCAAAGAATGTACGCACCTCAACAGACGTCGAAAACCCTCCAGAGTCTTCTGTAGCAGTCACCACCAAAGAATACACATGCGGTTGCCTTAGGTCTTCAAAATCGAGCTCTTTAGCCAACTTCACGATACCAGAAGTAGGGCCGATGTTGAAGGTGCCAGCACCCTGACCTTGAGCTTTTAGCGTGTACCGAATTTCGCGATCAGCAAACGACTTCGCCTTCACTGATATGATACTGGAACGAGAAAAGTGGATTCTTTTAAAACTAATGAAGTAGGTTAGAATATTATTTTGTTTTCATGCAATCATCATAGGCCTATTTAATTTCCCCACTGCAGGGACACAGGCCTTCCCTATGGATTAAATAGGGAGATTGGGCTGCTTAGCAGCCCGGACCAACTCTTTAACATTCCTTCCGAAGCACCATTGTAAAAGTTGCTTAACTTCCACGATTACAGGCCGAAAGCGCTAACCACCTACACCATCGAGCTCTCATTTTCAGGCAAACCACTCATTTAATAAATAAATCATGCTTTATACCCATTTAAAAGTGTTTTATTTAGTGTTCCATTTACTATATCACTTTTCTATATCATCAGTCTATTCACTAGTGCTAGAGCCAAGCGCAGGCTCTACCAAAGAATGGCATAGGATGGACGGGCCATGACCTACGCGCACGTAGACTTAATGAGGATTGGTGGAGTAACAACGCCATCTACATATTTTGCCTAAACTACAGAGACCACAAACAGCGATAAGCATGCTTTCTAAAGCAGGCTAATGAGCAAAAAATAGGACCGCCCACAGAGGACGCTCAAGTGTCCTCGGAAGTTTGACTGGAAATACTTTTATGACACTCGAGTGTCATGGGATATTTCGGAGGGTACAAAGCTTGAGATAAGGCATCACAACAACCGTGGTGTTTTGTATACGTGTACGTTTGTAAAGTTTTTTCATCATTTTTATATCTATCGTAAAAGCAAGGCAGTGTTTTTGGTACCGGTCCCCCCGATCGTCAACTTATAAAATTAACTATTTTTATTTTCTCGGGTCTAGCTGATTATTTTATCGTAGTTTTTTCTGATTCCCTTAATAGAAAAGCTTCAATTAACTAATTTTGAATAGTAATATTATGTATATGATGTTGTACAATATTAATTACTAAATTAATATTGTACAACATCATATATCGATACGATATCCACTAGGATATCGTCTGATACGTTTATTACGGTATTCGCTACAGAGCTTCAATCTTATCTTTGTAAAATATGTAAATAATTTGAATTTTTTAATTCGTTTTAATACCGCCATCTATCGTGATATTAAGCATCTTCTTATACGATTTCGGCAGCGCCTTTCTAGCAAGACTAGCATATACGCATGCGTGCTTTAAATTATCTAAACTCTAAAATAGTTTTCTTTCAATTCCTTAGATGGGGCGTGCAATCGCAAGTACGAGTATATTTATGAAACTTGGTGTCTAAGTAATAAATCTTATTTTTCTTTGTGAAAAATATACCTTAAATTAAATAGTATATTAATGTTTCATTTAAAGTGATAAGTTTAATATTGTGTTTAAACATAAAGCCCATTTTCATTTTTTTCTTTTATTAAGCTATTATTCATTTTTGGAAACAATATAAGTAGTATAAAATATTTAATTTTGACCTAGTAGAGAGTTGAATTTTAACACAGGTGTTATCTTTATGACATACCTAGTCATGAAGGACTTACGTGTTCACATATTTGAAGGTTTTACTTCTATCGCATGTGAACAGCACATGTCCGTTTCTTTATATATATTCTCTTTACACAAATACTGTACACACTGTTTATATTTATATGAGAAATCATTTACATATTTTATTTTATATAAGATTTATACAAGTTTTAAAAAAAATATCATAATGCATCGGAACGAAGACATTCAACCGAAACTTTTACTTTAGACTAAGTTAGGGTAAAACTGTACTTCCAGGACCCAAGAGGTTTTATGGCTTTTAATTTTTTTTATTCTGACGCTTCGCCGGCCGCTGCCGCGGCCGCTCGACGCTCGCTCGACTCGCGCGTTGTGGTCACAACACTAACCTAACCTAGTGGGAAGAATCACCACTTGGGCCCTGGAACTACAGTTTAGCCCAAGTTAGGGTCAGGTTGGTAGGGCGGTGTAATAATTGCTACCCTAGCTAGGGGACACGCCCAGCTTTTCCTTAGGGTCCTTAAAATTGGGTAGTGTAATAGCCGTTTATTAACTGTTGATGAAGTACATGTGCCGTACGAAGCATGGAAAAGTTCGGAACAATTATGGTCCATCTTAAAAACTGCACAAGTTGATAAACTGTGAACCGAACACGCGATCGAGCTTCGAGCATTTCCTATAATTGGATGGATGGATTCATTACTATGCAGGAGGCTTTGAATCTATATCTTGTGCTTAACTAGTCACAAAGACGATCAGTTACCACATCTGGAGCGGAAATATTAGTTAGTTATCTCTGACGATCCTCAAAGGAATTTAGCAGCGATTAGGTAAATCACAAATTACTAGACGGTTTATACCGTCTCAACCACGTTACGCAAAGGATATTGAAATAATATCGAAAGTACAAGTCAAATTATATACCGAATATAATGCAATAGTACATTATGATATAAGTGCGGTAAGTCGAGAATTACAGCCGAGGCGATATTGTTAAGGAGAGGATAAGAAGCCAGAGGCTGTAATTATCATACCGCACGTATGTGAAACGACGTTTTATAACACATTTGCGACGAAATAATACTACCTACGTACATACTTTCTGAAAATGAATTTGCACCTTTGTTTGTTTTCCATAAGATGAAATTTTGATACGCTTGACTGTAAGTATCTATCCGTGGATTTGTCGGGCAAGAGGCTTAGCGTAGCCTTTTTCGACTTCTGGCGGTGTCAAATTAATAAATTCGTTACTAATTGACACAGACCTGAAAAAAAGACGGACGTAACCTCGTCTAATCGCGAGTGAAGCATGCAAATGGCCGCCCGCTTACCGCGTGTGCGTGATTTGAGGGTTGACGGGTAAATCATCAATTACCCTACTTTTTAAATCTCCCAAACTAAAACATTGTTAACATTATGTAATCAAATATATATTATAATAACGGGATATTTACCACGTGTTTTACTCGTTGTGAGCTCCCGATTTTTCAGCAATTTAAACGGTTGCATTTCAGAAACATGACGTTGGTCTATCTAATGAATTTTTAAGAACACAGAAAAGAAAGCACTTTTTATGTATGAAGAACTTTATTGTCCGGTTTGAATGAACAAAACGAAGCAAGTAAGGATTCGAAACTATTAGTGAGTTGTGGGAGTGAAAAAGAAATAAATATAAAGTTATCACGCTAAATGTATAATTTGTATAGATGCGCTAAAATCCCTTATGTTGTGTCAACTTTTTGTACACTTGTCTTTTGTTGTTTGATTTACGGGAAATACTCTCAATTTTAGAAATATGATGGAAAAGAATGTTCAAATACTTTTGAATAATGCATTTTATCAAACTTATTTCATGATCTGCTCCTGCTATAAAGTGATTAATTTCTATATTTGAAAATGTTCTTCGGTTTCCAATGTATATTTCCCATATTTCCTAGTCACAAATGCAAGAAATACAAAATTCCCTACTTTTAGGGAAAAATGTACACAGCTGTATTTTTGTTTACAATTGGGGTTTTCGGCGGGATTTCATCGAGTGCGGTTGGCGTCTTATATTAATTATTCTTAAATTCGTTCAAAGTGGATATTGTGAAATAAAATTGGTGTGGTTTTGTGTAACAACCGTCTACGTAACTGAAGAATTAGTGGAATCGTTAAAATATACGCTGTTCCGGTCAAGAGGACGTGAGAATTTTATTGTAGTATTGACTACCTCACAGAAGCTTATCGAAAAAGCCAACTCGATACATTTCGTGCCAAACACTCCAAGAAACATTAGAATGCGTCACACCGACATTCTAATGTAAAAACAAAAAGATAAATTTAATTAAAGACCAGGCTGTATGGGCATTGTTCCCTTTGCCTTCCCTAAAACGGGAGAACTTAAAAAAAAAGAAAAAAGAAAATTTGTTTACAATTGTCATCCTTGTAAATAAAATATAATATAAAATAATTATCAAGAATCGTCAATACTTACGCATGGTAGGTGATTCCTTGTGACTTTTTAAATTTACTCGTGTAGTTTTTACAAGATTTCACCATACAAGACGGCATTTTTAAAATAAATTATCGGAGCAATAGAACGTGTGACTGGTGCTGTCACGCGGGATCAAATGGCAGCGCATTGTCCGACCTGGTGCATTAGTGTGAGTGTATGTAGTGTACAACACACGATTTTGTAGGACCTTGCATGCTTCACATGATTTGCCTTTGACATTACGTCCGTATTTTTTCAGGTCCGTGCTAATTGACAATATTTTCGAATAAAACAATACAGCGAAAAGAAAGAAGTGGTATAACTTTTTCACAGATTAGCGATGCGCGCGCATCAACGCTTTTTTTAGGCAAAGGACCAAAAAAACAGCCAGTGTTACTAATAAAGTAAATTAATATTTTTGTGAATTTGTTACCGATACATGGTTGTAATCTATTGTCAAAGTGAATCAAATTAAAGAATGAAATGTTTATATATTATATTTTATCTCCCAAAGTTAATTTTATTAAGAAAATGTTGGCTACCTTTCTGACATAAAAACTCTTTGCTAAGATTTAAAAAAGTATCGTTTGTTTTTAGACGGAACATAATAAGCCGTGCGATTTACATTACCGCACGCATGTGTAATGTGATAGATTATGATATTGAAATTGGTGCAATAAGAGACGCTTTACGAACAAATGTCTTATAAAAATAATTACATAACTTTTTACCTGTTCCGTAAGAAGTACAACAACAAAAAAAAATACTGAAGCCGTATCATGGAACCTTGCGCAATCAAAAGCAGCATTTGCAACAATTTGCCACCATGATTCAAGGATAACTCTATTAAATAAGCAGCAACTTTTTTTCAGTTAAGTACTTATATCAATAATATATTTATGTATGTAACACGTAATAACTGTGATCTAATTTTTGACGTAACGTGGTCACATAAAGTCAAGAAAAATGTATGAACATCATGAATACGAACTATAACTAACCATCTCTGTGTTATTTATAATCGAATTTATATAGCAATAAAGTCCCTACAACAAGCAAGAAGAAAATTGTATAGAAGCAGTTGTCGTTACTGATGAAGCTACAAAAGGCAATTTTAAGTTAGATTCTTTGTTGATGTGTTTGCGGTGAACGCAGTGAACTCGCTCGACACACAAAAGTCGATTTGTTTCATATTAACTGTAAACAAGTACTGAAGCACTGAAATGAGTGCTGGAACATTGTTTAAACTTTAAATAAACGTTTAGATTAAATTAAGTATTATAGCAAGATTATGTGTTTTGTTTTTTTGTTGATGAGGAAAGTGCATTCTCCCAGGGGCCTTCTTTTTGTTTCAACTTACGTAAGGCTCTTGTAGCCTTATTTTAGCTTTACCAGTCGAGAAAGGTTTAGACCAGCATGCGTAAGTTTGTTCGAGTACTTGTACACTATGTAATAATTATTCTGTTATTACCTCAAATTTCATTTATAGGTTTCTATAAATGAAAATACCTATACTGTGCGTGCAGGGACTTAAATATTTTATCCCTTGAGAGCCTCTATTGAGATAATTATCCTATATATTAGACATAACCTTTCAAATAATTTTAAGCAAAAGTTAATTACAAACAAACAAACTTTGACTTTTCTCATATCAGTAAATATAGGATACAAAATATTCTCAAGACTAATTAGAAGCCGACCTACATAGTTCTAATAAAATAATATAAGTTTCTTCTCATTTGATGTATTAACAAGACGACTCCTATTAAAGACTCGCGTCGCATACTTGTCGTCTATAAGTAAAGTTCTGGTAATTTATTATTAACAATAATCTCTAAACTCATTAAAAGTCGTCTCGCTTGTTCTAAAATAATGATCGATCCTTAACGTTATGGTTTGATTTATTAACACGGCATTGTCATCAAGTTTAGTATCTAATGTAAGAAGGGGCTTACTCTGAATCTTTCTTCTGATTCTCTGCAATCTCGGCCTCGTAGCTGGGCAGGTAGAACTGAGGGGCGCGTTTCCCCCCAACTATGCTGAGCCGTTCTTCGGGGGTCGACTGGAACCGTCTCTCGTCCACGCGACCGCTCTGGAATCATGAATAAGAAAATGTTGAGATCTTTTATTCATCTACTAAACATTTTGTTTTATACCAATATTGTATGAGAATATTTCCCACATAACCCCGTCAGCATCTGTCGGCTTCGGAGTATGAGCCAAGCATTTTCCTTAGAGGTATCTTACAAAAAGTAAGATAACTTAATAATAAAGTAAATGAAAACGATTCTGGTAAGTTAACAAAATGCAATGGAGACATGATAACAAAAATAGTTTTTTTACTAATATAAATACTCTAGATAATTCATCATCTGAAAACAAACCACTGACTCACATACATTTAGCAACATGTGGGCGCCATATTGGGTTACCCATTAGGGCCAAAAAGGGTTTCTTTCTGAGAAATGTCTTACAAATGAGGTCCTATTAACATCTCATGATATGATATAAGGATTAAATACATGCAAACTTATACATGATGGTACGTCTTCAATTAGTAACAGGACTATGAATTTATAATATAATACACATAGATGAATGATTGGTCTCGCTTCGTCGAGTTAAGCGAAACCAATCATTCATCTATGATAATACATATATTTTATTTGCATTTTTTCATTGTATAGACCGAGACTCTTTTTTCACGCCTTTTGATAATGGCCAGGACATTTATTAATCAAGCAAGAACTTACAAAAATGATTATAGATGTTCATCAGGATAAACGAGTACTTACTGCTGTTCTATATTGTCATACTAAATACAGAAGCCAAAGCTCATAAGTTCGTATATCAGTTCGCAACACGCTCAAATTTAAGAGAAAAACGTCTCCCTACCTCTCGCAGATTAACATTACAATAACCACTACAGATAGGGTTAATATCCGTCGAGATAAATACGGACATGTCCGTCCTTTTAGACTCTAATCCAGACTTTTTCCAACGCTTTAATTCGTCCGGATATTTTGATTAGATGGAATTTGAGTACCCCGCACTCTACCCCCTCGCAATGCGAGCGTGTGCTACCACCACAACTGTAACTAAATAATATTTCCACTTTGTGACTAAAAAGCCCGGACTTTTATCAAAATATCAGACTTTATGTCAGGACTTTTCAAATTCCTAAATGGTAACCCTAACTACAGAGGATTTCAATCTAAATATAATCTTAAGTTTATTCCGTGTATTTCCATTACAATGCTTAGACTGAGGCCGACTACATAAGATGTTAGCAGCAACAACAAAACCACGAATTTACTGTTTCAAGGAATCTGTCTATAACATTGAAAACCGAGGAGAGGTAGTCTAGAGTCTAGATAGACACTCCTTTTTAATTTTCTTAATAGGTAAGTACCTAATAAGATTGTTTAAGTAAACATATTATTATTTGAGTATTGGACTGCCTGATTATTATATTTGTTTCCATCCGGCATGTCCGGACTTTTAGTCTCTAGTTCGGTCTTTTTCCGACTCTTTAATTTACCCGATTTTTTTAATGAGATGGAATATGCGCACCCAACACCCTACCCCCTCGTAATGTGAGCGTCTGCTACCATGCTTACCATACTACTGTACTGTACTAATTAAGAAATATTTCCATTTTGTGACTAAAAAGTCCAGACTGTTTAAATTCCTAAATGGTAACCCTAACTACAGAGGATTTCAATCTAAATATAATCTAAAGTATACTTCGTGTATTTCCATTTTAATGCTTAGACTAAAACCGGCTATGTAAGATGTTAGCGACAACAACAAACGATTACCAAGAATTTACTGTTCCGAGGAATCTGTCTGTAATACTGGAAACCGAGGTAGACAGACACTTCATTGTGATTATTTTATTAGGTATACATAATATTATTATTTCAGTATTGGACTGCTTAATTCTTATATCTAGAAGTAAATTTTACAGGAAAAACTTAAAAAACGACAACTTTAATACAAAACCACATTTTTTTATAATTCTTGTCCTTTCTTAGATCTCGGTACAGATAAAAAAAAACCATTTAGAGTTGGTGCCATTGGTGCCACAAACATGAAAGAGATCTGAGTTACCGTTAACTACTTAAGTAGTTAACTAATTACTAATTTAAATTAGCATCATGTGTGTTTGTGTATGACGGAGACTACATTTAGTGGTTAACACACACGCACACGGGAAGTTTCCCCCCTGTCACCACCAGGACGCTTGGCGTTCTAGCACCATGCATTACGCGCGTTCCTTTTTCTTGCGTACCAGCAAGATCTGGAACGAATTTAGCTCCGCGGTTTTCCTTTTTAACTATCATATGAGGGTCTTCAAAAGGCGGGTAAACCTTATCCTTCAGAGCCGACAATGCATGAGTGGTATACCCTTGGTGATGCAAATGTCCATGGGCGGCAGTGACTACTTATCATCAGGTGGACTGACAGCTCATTTGCCTGCACAAACATAAAAAAACAGTCACATGATCTTCAGTTTTCACGTACAGCACGTACTCCATATCCTACTGGAAGGAGTCCGTTCCTCTGGTTCTGACGATGCCCGATCTCTTGTCGACTTCGAACCGACCACTCGTCCGATGAAGATGAAGTAGTAGATGTTGTGGTCTGTGTCCAGGTCCCTACTTTGCAGGGTGAACACGGGCGTGTTGGCCGCGGCATTCAGGTGCACCACCGTCTGCATCGGCAGCGGTCGATATACAGGCAGCCACTTTCGCATAAAGTATGGATTTATACATATTAAAACTCATCTAAACTTCAGCTTTTACATATCCAATAATATCCAATTGGAAAGGGTCGTCCCTCTTGTTTTGACGACGCCCGATCTCTCGTAGACTTCAAAACGTCCACCCGTCCGCTCCCTCACGATGAAGTAGTGGATGTTGTGGTCTGTGTCCGGGTCTCTGGCTTGCAGGGTGAACATGGGCGTATTCAGTTGCAACACCCTCTGCATCGGCAGCGACCGGTAGACAGGCAGCCACTTTCGCATTTACACTGTTAATTATAGGTTTATATATATTAACACTCACCTGATCTTCAGCTTTGACGTACAGCACGTACTCCATATCCAACTGGAAGGGGTCCGTTCCTCTGGTTCTGACGACGCCCGATCTCTCGTCGACTTCGAACCGTCCACCCGTCCGGTCTCTCACTATGAAGTAGTGTATGTTATGGTCTGTGTCTGGGTCTCTGGCTTGGAGGGTGAACACGGGCGTGTTGGGCGCGGCGTTTAGCTGCACCACTGTCTGCATCGGCAGTGGTCGGTTGATGAAGTAAGGAGGTTCGTCGTTCACGTCCTTCACGTGGATGATGACGCGCTGGTTGTCCGTGTCTGAAATCGTTAAAGATACAAGTGTTAAATTTACGACCTACGTCCAGCCGTGTACTGTCCTATCAGGGTCGGATATATGGCAATTTAGGCGAGGCTGTGGTCCAGGGCCCCACAAGTGAGGAACGAAGGAAGTGACAACAGAGAAAAAAGTAACCAACCAGTCACCAATCAGTGAAGGGGTGCAAACAGGGGCCCCCACTCTTTCATTGCACCCGGGCCTCCACACGTCTAGGCTGCTGACAGTAGGACTTTTGTAAGAACACTTAGGAATCTAGCACTTGTAGAAATTATAAGTATACCCTAAGTATAAATGTTTTATTGATTCCAGAATACGACCAACTTTGCAAACTTGATTATAAGGTAGGATCTTAAAATAATAATGCGTTATTATTCTGGGTAGGACTTGATTATTGTATACCATTCGGTATTCGAGATTACTAAGCAGCCCTACAGAGAAAGACCTGATATCCTACAAACAGGAAAATCCATACTCAGCGCTATATTTATATACCGTTGTTACCCTTACAATTTAAAAAGAGAACAACAAACAAAATGTAATAACATAGAAATGTAGCAGTGACGGTGTAGGACGGTCATCCATCAGTCACGATATTATGCGATCCCTAACTAAACTGCAGTTAAGTAAACACTGCGCTCAAAGCCCAACCCCGTGCACGACACCTAGATTGAAAGGTTAGTACTAGCTGTTACGATATTTATTTCAATTAACATCGAAGTTTCACAAGGAAATCGGATAAAGGTATGTTGATATGAACTTTACGCCTACCTATTTAAAATTATACAAGTAGTTTTACTATCAAGTTTGGTATAGTTCAGTAATTGCAGGTAAAACCCAGGTATAACTATAATGCAACATGTTACGTTCCTTATTAGGGGATATAAATAATCTGTCATCTTATTATTAAGAAAATAACAGTTTTACACAACACTGTTTAAACCAAAGCGGAATATTAATTACTTATAGCCTGTTATCTCTTCAAAAGTAATAAGATCACAAAATCGAAATTGCAAATAAAAGCTGCTCAATAAAAATACATGCAACGATTGAAAAGAATTCCTTTTGAAGGTAATACTAATGAGTGGTTTATGCAAAACACGTGACACAAAGTCACTACGGCTTTGTGTCACGTGTAAACTAAAAACTTTAGTCATAAAAGCTACATAACAATATATTTTAGTCTAAAAGCTCATGGTTTTAAAATTTAACTAACTTCGGAAATGTAAAATCAATGGTAAATACACAGTTCCTACGATACTGATATCTAAGGATTGCCAATTTCAATTACCGTGAAAAATATAGACGGAATTGTAAGGGAGAGCCTTGGAGTATGGGACAGTGGACCATGGCCCACCGCATAGTCCTAGCGTGCATTGATGGTATTAATCACTGCATATTATGCAACTGGTAACATCCACGTGCCTTCAAAGTAAAGCAGGGCTCAAAATAATAGTTTTTTAGTCACCCATCTGATGAGCGACCATTGCAAAGTTATTTCATTTCCACAATTGCAGAAGCACTCTTAGTCAGTAGTGTGTAGACACTAGCCATATTTTCGTTAAACCGAAATCTGTATACTTTAAATTTTAATTTAGTATTAGAATCATTTCTTTGCTATTTTCAACAGTAACGTTGTTTTAATACTTATTTTTGCATTAAATAAACATTTCCAGATCTTATTACAACTAAAATAGTATAATAAAAAATATATTTAATATAAGTATCTGGCATAGCAAAGCTTCTTAAATAGTTTGAGCGACAACCCTACCAAGACTGGAGTCGCAATAATATTGCTAAAGGAACGTACTATGAGCGCTACGGACAATCTAAAATGTAGATTCGGAAATACATATTCAAAAACGCTGCACAAACATCTATGGCGAAATTTTGGCGAAAACGTTGAGGGAAATGTATTTCATTGCGGTCTAAATGACAGCAGGAAACGTTAAAGCAAGCATGCCAACGGTTATAAGAAATTTAAATGTTTTTAGTGGCATTCTTTGCGGGGACAATGGGCGAGATTTATCTTGCAACCGTACATTTTTCATTCAGCTAAAGTGAATACAGAAACGAAAACGTTAATGCGGTTTGTTTTTCTTTTTAGTCCGATCATTAAGAAGAATAAAGATTCGGTATTTTTTTTTTAAATTTTCGCAATTGGGAATTCTAAAGTTAAGAATTCTATCAATGTCACTATATAATTAGTTGTGATTATTTGTTTGTTTAGATTTACTTGTCAATACCAGTTGTAGGTACTCATATATCCCAATATCCGATATATACAACCGGTTCAAGATTTTTTTTTATTAAAGTCAAAGCATAATAATAAAACTCCGAATAATTGATATAAAGAAATGATCGTGTTTTATATTTGACTAGAGGCCCGCCCTCGCTTCGCTTCGGTGTAGAGCTGAAGTGTAAACTACAGTTTTTGTTCTCAGGCTTTTATTATATACAATGATATTCATCTATGATTCTTCTTATACCTGCATGCCAAATTTCAGCCCGATCCGTCCAGTGGTTTGGGTTGTGCGTTGATAGATCACTATGTCAGTCAGTCACCTTTGAGTTTTATATATATAGACTTTTGAAGAAGGAAAAGAGACAGGAAAATGTTCAGAATTTATACGCATTTTACGCAAACAATAAATAACACACTCCTCCAGAGTAGATATCAATGACAAATTTGGCTTTCTGTTTCAGGAATTATATAAGGAGTACGGTTCCAGGAATCTTTGGAGGAGGGGATCGGGCACATTGGATCAGGCTGGTATGATACTGGAGCGGCACACTTTTCAACTTAGGGATTCTTCCAAATTTAGTGGAAAAAAGCGATCAGGAGTGCGGTTCCTGAAAGAACAAACTCACTCTTTATCTCGGAATCCGCGAAGGATTTAAAATTGGATCAAGAATTTCAAATAAATTTTAAATCACACCGACGGCGAATTCCGCTGTGAAAAGTGAGTTTATACTTAATAAATAATTTAAACATTCCATACTTACATTTTAGGGCCACTGTCAGGTTAGCATGGAAGAAAATCAAAATCATATGTTAGTAAACTAAATATTTGAAGAAACAAAATTGACTTATACAATATACTATCAGAACATAAAATTATTGAGAGCTGCTGGACATAGAAATTAAATATTGTTAAAGAAAAATGTTAGTTTAAAAAAATGATTTAGAAGCCAACAAAATGTTATGTCACATAAACTTGATCAACTCCCAAAATTTTTGTTCCGACCGACGACCGACCGAAGAGAAAGCGCCATTAAAAACAACTTACAGGGATTGTTATTAATAATAGAGTTATAATTAAATGTATAATTAAATCATTAATGTTAAAGTTTGAATTGGTTTTGATAACAGAAAACATTGAAACACAGCTAAAATTAATACATATGTAAGTCTAATACCGCACATGAAATATCATTAATTTTGAGAAATACTCGACAGGTCTAGCTCTTTTTTTAGTTGCAATAGTAATTATTACTAGGAAATAGTAGTTTTGTTTTTATCATTAGTTTCATTGACACACTTGAACATTCATTCAATATATATATTCAATATAATTCATATAATATTATATCAACCAAAATATTTTAGGTAACGAAGTCTAGCTTCTGTTTGTTCACATCTATTTAAGAATATTTTTAGAATGCGTGGAAGAAGCTTATGAAGCAAATATTAATTTCTAATAATTTTCAGTCAAGAACTTTCGCTCATTATGAAACATTGCCTCTAACGCCGCGATATATTCGTAGTATCCTTTTTGTCCGGGGGATTTAAGGCAATCCCTGGTATAAATCCGCCGTTTGCTGTAATCCTATTGTGGGGATCTAGTTTCGGTGGCTGTTTCACACACAACTGAACGTCACAGTACATTGACCTAGAACAGTTAGCCACAAAGATCCTATCAGTAATTAGGAAAAAACTAATTAATTTCGCTCAGTTAAACTGATTTAATAGAATATGCATAGGCTATTATGGGAAGTTTATCCTTTGAGAGCAATATTTTATCTAGAAAGATTTAATTTTTGATGATTTTTATCTATTTGTTGATCTGTTAAGATTTGCTGTCATTTCATTTGAAACAAAAAATAGGATATAATTGGGATTTTTCAGACATAATCACTTTTACAAGTTAGATAAATATTATAAACAGAAGTAATCCCATAGTACTTACAAAGTTATATATAAAATTCTCATGTCACAATGTTAGTTATCATACTCCTCCGAAACGGCCTGACCGTTTTTTATGAAATTTTAGATTCATATTCCGTGGGTCTGAGAATCGGCTACTATCTATTGGTTGTCCGCCTGTAACGTAGTGTTCTGAAACCTACAATGCGCCTCCGCGTCAAATTTCAAACTATTGGGTATTGTAACGTAGTGTTTTAAGTTTATATGGGTTAGGAGGAATGTTATCACAGGAAATTGATAGAACCCTACGTTACACACCCCTAAAATGTTTTTTCTCTTCTACCACCTGCCCCTATTTTTATGGCGGTACGAAGTCCGCTGGGTCAGCTAGTATTTATGTAAAAAATGGAATAAGGAATAATAATAATTTACTAGCAACGAAATGAATTTTAAAAAATTGTTACATAAATCTAAAGAAAAGTTTTACTAGAAAAAAAATCCACGCGGTCCAGGCAGCGGACGGGACTCAAACCCGCACCCTTCGCAATCCGGGCGAATGCACTGACCAATTAAGCTACCACGGCCCTAATGGCCGCATCGAAATTTTCCTAGCCTTAAGCTGCAAGACAGCGCCATCTCTTCACATTGTAGGTAACCCACAATTTATAATGTGGTAGATTTAAACATCTAGGAGTAAAATGCATAAAAAAAATAAAAAACATAATTGTTACATAATTTAATTTTATGAAGTCTATTTTTATTTTTGGTAATAAAGTATTTAGTTTCCGCAACATCAGCCAGTTTAGGTAGGTACTTAGCGATATGTATACAAACGTAAC